AACAAGGACGCTACTAGGAACAAGTGCATCGCTTCTAGTAACAAGTGCCTTACTAGTAGTAACAAGAAGCTACTTTAAACTTAATTCTAATAGCTTCTTTGTTACTACTAGTAAGGCACCTGTTACTACTAGCGTGGCACTTGTTACTAGTAGTAACTTGTCAAAACGAGCATCCTTCGCCTCAGGGCCTGGGGGCCTGGCTGAGGGTGGCTGCGATGAACTCGGTGTAGTCAATGTTCCCGGACCCATCGGTGTCCAAATTCTTCCTCGTTTAACTGCAAGTACTTAAGCAGTTAAGCACGCTTTAACCGATTCCTAATAGCTTCTTGTTACTACTAGTAAGGCACTTGTTACTACTAGTAAGGCACTTGTTACAGGTGAACCGATTCCGGAAAGCTTCGGTCGCGAGCTGCTAGAGCTTCTTCAAAAACCGCCGATTCTGCGGTGCTTCGATGTGCTTCGTGTGAGAAGTGGGGCTTGCAGGTTGCAACCGAGGGACCTCTTTTTTGAGAAACCTTCTTTCCAAACTGATTTTCTGTTTCGACAGAGATGTCGTTGCCGAAGACGAAAAAGGCACCACCCCGGAAAACCTCCATGAACCCGAAACGAACTTGTCAATGTGAAAACGGGAGATCAACCGACTGATCGGACACGTGTACTAGCGAGAAGTTTGGGCCCTTCGGCTGTGCAAATGTTCGGTTTTTCTGTTTGAAACACTGGCATTTTGTTCGCATGTGCTGGAGATGCACTTGGTATGTGATTTTGTGCTTCGTGGCGTTCTCGAGAATGACTTGTTCAAATTGGACTTGCTTGTCATGTTTTGTTTTTTACGGCGGAGCTGGCATCATCAGAGCACTGCAAAGCAGTTTCATGAAAGAAACTGCCCCAGACCATAGCAAACTGCTAGTTGTCCGCACGCGCAGCTTGAAGGTAAACCAATGAACCAACACTTCACCCTCCAAGCATACTGTACTGGAAACAGGGGACTCACATTTGATGTTGTTGGCTCGCATTGCCGCAATTGTGGCCGAGCCGCATGATCTCGATAAGGTCAGGAGGGATCTCCAAAGAAGACTCCGAGATCCCCTTCTGAATTTCCTCGATGCTCAATGTCCCATCCTCAAGAAAGCGTCTGCACGTTTCCTATCAACTGTTCATGTTTTCTATGTTTTTCTAGTCTCAGGGAAAATTCAAGCAAAACGCCCGGCCCACGCCCAACAGCGTTGCAGTTGGATGAATGGGATGAGTGTTGTGATAGTAGAGAACTATCAGGACTGTCGGGCTCGTAGGTTGGCCAGTTGGTCGGGGCTGCGTCAAGTGGTCGATTCTTTCGGCGGCAACATGCGGGAAAAGAAACACGAGGGTAAAGGCTGGTGTGGGCGCCACAAACTTCATCGCTACTAGTAACAAGTGCCTTACTACTAGTAACAAGAAGCTATTAATTTAAATTAAACCAAATCTAAATTTTAATTCAACTTAATTCCAAATTAATTCTAATTCAATTTCATTTAATTCTATTTCAACTTCATTTAATTCCAATTTAGTTTTAGTCTAATTGTAATTTATTTTAATATATCTAATCTACTTTATTCTAATTAATTTACATATAGTTTAATTTAGTTATTCTAATTTAATTCTAATTGAATTTAATTTAATTCGAATTTAATTCGAATTCAATTTTAATTGAATTCTAAGTGAATTTAATTGAATTTGAACTTAATTCTAATAGGTTTTTGTTACTACTAGTAGGGCACTTGTTACTACTAGCGTGGCACTTGTTACTAGTAGCGAACCTTGTTACTACTAGTAAGGCACTTGTTACTACTAGCGTGGCACTTGTTTCTAATAGCTTCTTGTTACTACTAGTAAGGCACTTGTTACTAGTAGCGATGCACTTGCTTCTAATAGCTTCTTGTTACTACTAGTAAGGCACTTGTTACTAGTAGCGATGCACTTGCTTCTAATAGCTTCTTGTTACTACTAGTGCGTCCGCGTGAAACGCGCGGCGTAAGGAGATCTGGAAGCAGCTGAGGTGCTCCAGCCTAGACCACGAAGGCCTTGGGTGGGTCGGATCGCAACGCCTTGTGCAATTCCGAGCTCTCCCCATATCCGCCACGTTCGGGCGAAGCAGGCCTGACGTTGCTCGAATCCAACTTTGCCTTCGGCGTCTGTGCGGAGGCTCGTTTGACATCATTCCCGATTTTCTTGGCTGCAGTCTCTCTTGCTTGAACTTGCCGATTCGACAACTGCATTTGTGGCGCCCATTTGTCTGGCCCATTTGTCATGGTTGGGCAACCTGCTCGTTCTTGCTGTCCTGCTCTTGCATGCTGACTCCCCAGACTTGACTCTGGTCATTGACGTCTTTCCATGGAGTCGTTGTTCACGGCGACGTGAATGGACGTACCAATAGTGCTTGTTGGCTTGCGTCTGGCCGCGCTGACACTGCCATGCTTGGCTCGCCTGGAATTCGGACGGCGTGCTGCTCCCGTCTTCTTGCCAACCTTTTGTGAAACAATTTTTTCGAGTCCTTCCAAAGATGGGAGGCCAAGGGCTTATCCCCACTTGACGCAAAGTGCGCTTTCACCCACACAGAAGTAGCCAAAAGGGTGGGAGCGCAGGGTGTGCCCGTC